AAGCTCAGACATGCCCCAAAGCCAGACTGCCTCTCTGTAAACAGTTGCACTATCTGATGGGTCTGGATTTTTGTCGAGTCAGCCAGCTGGAGGTTCTGCCTCCTCTCTGAGTGAGTTTTAGCTCGAGCTAATGCAAGATTTACGAATGCGCAGTGCCTACATAAACGCTCAATCTCCATCCAAACCCACACACTTACGCAATACCCCGAAGTGGGTCACATTCTCTCCTGGAGAAAAGAAGCAGCCCATTCAGCAGCTTGATGTGATTTGTGGGTTTTCTTGAAGTGCCACTTTCAGAAATAGAATGCAGGCTTTTTCTCTTTTTTTCATGCATTCAACCCAGATATTCAGAAAGAAGTTTTGTTCTACTCTCTAGAAATTACAGTTAATGTGTATTTATTTGTATATATTGTTGAACTCTTGTGTACGTTCCCTTTGACTTGGGCTTGCCCAGATAGCATTTTACAGGCTTTGAATACTCGTTGGTATTTTTCAACAAGTACTCAAATACTCATTCTCAGCATCACCCTTTAAAACAGTAATATTATTTAAATCATTTTTAGTTGTCCTTTTGATAGTATAGATATGCTTCCTTTTTAATCAATGTTTTAGTCAAAACCACAAGCAAGCCCCCCACTTGAGGCATAAGTTCCATAGAGATGTGGTTGAATCTCACACTTTTACCTTCTATGGTGCTCTAAACTAAATTTAAAACAATAATTTACTGAAGTGTGATTGTGTTAGGAGCTCCTGCACTGTTCTAAAGGTGTGAGAAGGAGACTCTTCACTGATTAAGCAGTAGAAACTTGTGAATGTGGTTTTGTCTAAATAACTAGATCTGTTGTTTGTGCAGTCAAGCTCTAAACCCACCATACAACTGTTTAATTAGAATTGAAAGCATTAAAATCGAGCTGATATTCCTGGCTTGAAGGTTACGTGACCATGTCAGAAGCTACAGTACTCTGTAAGTAGCGCTACTTACACAGTCTTGTATATTTAAGACTTAATCAAACTTGAAGACCATTTTTCTTAACCGTTCAAGTCTCAAACTAGAAAAAATATATGCTGGTCTTCTTAGCCAGTAATAATCGTAATTAGATATTTTGCTGAACTCGTTCTGCCCTAAAGCTACAGTTTTTGTATTCAAATCTACCTTCGACTGTCTTAGACTTTAGACTACTTTTTTGTCCACTGTTCTACAAACTGGAATCACTTGTCCTATAAATATAAATAGGTCTAATTTTATTTACTGTAAGAAAATTGTTTTTTTTTTTTTTTTTTTACTTTTTTTGATTCTGAACTTTTTTTTTTTGATTCACTTTTTTTGATTCTGAACTTTTAAACGGTATATCACTGCATCAAGTGTGTGACCCGTGACCACTGTACTGTGGTCAGCAGCTCTTAATTTGCCAAAGCAGATGCCATAAACATGACATGCAACAATGAATTGCAGTGACGCTGATTCTTTTTTACGTCTGTGCAGCCATTGCTCATGCCTGTTGATTTTCACTGGATTTTCTCATATGAACCGCACCTTCCCCATTGTGTTGTCACTAAAATCTGAAAACCGTCATGCCTCATAATTGCATTATCTACTTTCTGCCTGCTTTCTTTGGAAACAATAAATGTGTCAACACTATTTTGCCAGAGGCAACAGCTTAAACAAGCTCACATAGAAGAATGATGTATGTCATGCGTCATATTACAGAAGCATGTGTCTCTTCAAAACTTCCCTGTTATCTTTTATCTTTTCTGATTGAAATAAATGTAGACTCTGTAGAAATGGACATGTCACTCGTCACTCGTATTGGATAGAGCACCAGTAGAGCTTTAGTTAGTCAGTGTTTCCTAATGCATTTAAATATTAATTCAGTGGAATAACATGTTACAACACAAAGGTTTGATTAAATGAATTAATCAAAAAACGAATTCTGGGTCGCTCCGTGTTTTGTTTAAGGCTTGAGTGTGAGACCTTTTCCTAACAACAATATATACAAACGCAATTTGTGATTTATACATGCCAATTTATTTATTTACAAACATCTGTAACCGTGTGTGACATCTGTAACAGCCCTCTTGTGTATGAAAGTTTTCAGTTTCTAATTTATAAGAGTGGTTGTTAAATTGCTGCTAACCTACTTAACTGCTGCTGGTGCACTACACCGACTACACCACTCACAGCCCACCTGTGATGATGTACTCTGATGATGTATCTAATCGTCTTGAACTCTCTTTTTGGAAGCTACAACGGTAGTCATGCTTATCTACGAGCTCATATTAGAGCAATGTGAGTGGAGGATCTCAAATTTCTCTGAGTTGATAAGTCACTGCAAGCTTCCATGCGGGCAAGCATCCCTGAATTCCAGTGTCTGTCATATAAGGACAACACATGGAATCTAAAAATGGTGAGCAATCTTCTACGTGAACCTTAAGCGTAGCAGCATAGCACAACCCTCAGAAACGAGTACTTTACTTTTCTCTTCTATGTTTTTTCTAAAAAAAAAAAGAGTTTAAGATGCGATCAGTGTTTTAATATAGTAGATTTTAGAAACAGTATTTAGTATATAATGAAATACAGGCCATTAAAGCGACCTGACGTTCTTCCTAGCGTTGTCTGCGTGGTTTCCATATAGGCTGGGGTGCTGACAGCATGCTAACGTTTGCCTCCATGTGTGCAGGTTTCAGGCCAGGCTTCAAGGTGATGTTCTCCGGTTACTCTGTGTGTGGGTTGCGAGTGAATGTTAGTATGCGAGTGTTCGCTGGAGGTGACAATCAGAAGTCCCAGCTGTTGTCCACGCTCATCTGATAGGGGGATTTTAGCACGGGGTCAGGGTGCAGTGGTGTTCCAACCTTCTGCCCCGCACGTAGATCTGCTGGAAAAATGTCAAGATTGCAAGATCAGGATGGAGCTTTGTGGCGCAGCAGCTGACTCTGCGTGCGGTATGAGTTACAGCCAGATCGCTTTGGTGCTCTGCTTCATATCATATAAATAATCCATATGAGTTCTATTAAAACAAGTGGCCTAATTTGGTTACAGCAGTAAAGCAAGCAGATGTGAAATGACCTGTAAAGTTTGTAACTCTTCTGTGAACATCTGTGTGCCAAAAAGAGAGTAGAAAGCCAAAAGTCCCATTTTGATTTGCATCTGCTGAAGTTACAATTAGATCTTATGAATTAGGTATGAAATGAAACTGCATCAATATGGGAACTGGGAGCTGATGTCGATATTCGGTATTTTTATGTGCAGTTTGTCTGCCAGTGCTGATACTAGTGACAGTCATTTGTGAAAAGTTCAAATTGGGAGTACGTCCACCTGAATTAGCATTCCAGAGATATGTAGTATTAATTTCTGTGGGGTTATAAATGCATTAAAATAAAATAAACAAAGACATTTTAGCACAGTAGCCCAACATTACCTGAACACTCTATTTTTCTGGAGTACATTAAACACGTCCATTTTCAGTTTAAAAATATTGGCCAAATCTCTCAAATGCTGGAATTTATTTATTTATTTATTTATTTATTTATTTATTTAAATATCTGCTGGCATCCATGTAATTCTGGTACTGTGCATGCCTAATGCTAGACCTTTTGACATTTCTGTACATTTGATTTCATACAGTTTTGAGTTCTCATACAAATTTGTATTGAGGTCAAGTTTAGTTCAATTTTTAGTATCTCATACAATAAAAATGTCTTAATTCTGCAGATTTGTAATTATATACACATATTGGTTTGTCTCGGATAAATAAAAGTTCTGAATCAGAACTTTTTCAGGGCCTGTTGTATCAGCCCTTTAAAAATAAATCCCAAAAATCACAGCCACTTGGATTTTACAAGCAACCTCAGGGAAAGGAACACCTAGTCTTTTGAATGTGGGGGTGTGCATGGCCCTCCCCTCCGCTCCTCTCCCACTTCACACTAATGAGACGTTCTGAGAGGTGTAGTTTAGATCATTAATGGCGGTTTCTGCAGAGCAGATACTGAGAGGCATGTCAGTGATGCACCATTTATTTATTTACGTAAAATATTATTTTGAAATCGTTACACCCTTAATGCTTTGTATACTTGTATTAGTTACATGACAAGGATTTGCGTGGTAGTTTGTTGAGAATATGACAGAGTGGTTGAAGCTCTTTAATCTGTTTAATCAAGCTCTTTAATTTTATCTTTAGACACCCATACATATCTTCAGACTTGTCCACTCATGATAAGACAAACACTTAAGCAAAGTTAGTGCATCTTCCTGTTTACTCCTACTATCTTTTCAATAGAGATATTGTTTTAATGGGGATATCAGCAGGTTGATGGGCTCTTATAACAGCTCGCACCACCACGGTGCCTGCTTTGTACTGCTTACCTGAACAGAAACCCTGTGAGAAGCCTCTCCCTGTGATTAATACTGCACATACTACCACTCACTCAGCACCTGCTTTATGCCTTTGCCAACTATTTCCACTTTGATTTGCCAGCAGCGATTTCTCAATTATTTGGGTTCTTGTATGCTGTTAGGTATTAGCAGCTTAATGCCGTGCATATTAAAGGAACACGGGTGTGTCGACTGTAATAACTGCCAGGGCCAGGAAAGCTCTAATCCATCCTCTGAAGCACATGTTCTTTGTCAGGATAACACTGCACGGGCTTTGAGGTTTTGTCTAAAGTTAGAAAAACAGTGAAAAGACCTGGTGAAATCTCTGCCTCGCCACCTAGGAGCCTCTTGTTCACTAGTACAGTTCAAATTCCAGCATGCCTCACCAAACAGAGGCACCTGAGAGGAGATGGCCTTGAGGAATCTCTATAGTAGGATAACAGTGAGGGAGGTGGTCTGTGGTCTGGCATTGATAAATAACTTGTTTTGTTCAGACAGAATTTGATTTGATGTGTCCTGACAAGGCAAAGGAGAAGCCTTCATCTGTACTGTGTCTGTGGTATTATTTGGATATTGATAGTTTTGAATCTGAATAGGTTTTTAATGTATCTTTCGTATGTGTGTGTTGCAGGTCTCCTGGTCATCATGTCCATTGTTCAGAACAGCCCTCTACAGGCCTCACTGCACAGGATAGTAGCCCTCACACAACACAGGAGGAGGGGGCTGACGATAAGGTAACAGCTACAACCTGCAGCAAACAAACTCAGGTCTTACAATTATCAGTGAACCTTGAGCTGTGTAATCTTTACACCAACAAAAAACAACTACAAATATGTAACCAGTAAAAATGCAGAAACGTTTGGCCAAAACTTTATGCAGTTTACATAAATTTTCAAAGATTAAATATGCCTACAACACACTGGCAAAATAAAACACTTTACACTTCAACACTTTTCATTTACAAGTTGATGAGAATTAGGCAGAGAACTTTGTTGTTGTCCAAAATCAATACAAGTATCTCCATTTTTCAATTTTTTATTTTTCTACATCATTTGAGTTCTGCAGCTGCCCTTTTTTGGATAGCGACAGAAACACTGTTTACCTTACTCTCATTGCTCACCAGCACTTTTTCGGTTTTAGTTTTCAGCCCAGAATGTCCTGAATTTCAGTTTCAGCCAAAACTTTTCACTTCAGCGCATCTCAGCTTTTGCAAGTGTGAAATATTGATGCACTGTGTCGTTGCAATACTATACAATACAAGCCAGTCTTTCCAGGAGAAAGCGTTTCTATTCAAATCAAACCTCCAAATGCTAATCCATAAAATCTTACTGTTATTGCATGTGAAATAACAATGCAGCGGAAGTTCACTTTGTCATCCTCTAATTCAGCCAAACCCCAAATCTCTAATTCCTAATCAGCCCCTTGACTTATTAAGTTGAAAAGCTCCAGTCATATGTGAACCATCCAGAGCTTATTCTGCTGACTCAGAGAGAGAGAGAGAGAGAGAGAGAGAGAGAGAGAGAGAGAGAGAGAGAGAGAGAGAGAGAGAGAGAGAGAGAGAGAGACAAGGAGGTGGTGAGTCACATTCCATTCAACCTCTAGGCCTGACATTTTGTGTGCATATGTGAGAGTGGGGGAAGGAAAAGATCACATGTGGTTTATGGTTCACTCTCTAGAGAAAAGGAGAATGTATATGCATCTAGATGTGCTTCATGGTTGTGCAATAGCCCTTCTTTCAAAGAAGCTCCAGTTACACATCTGTCCTTCACCAGGTTAATCTGTAAAGGAATCCACAGTGAGGGGCCACAGCGATCCCCCTCATTCAGTTGTTTTTCCTCAGATAGCACTGGCACCATATAGAGAGAGCTTTGATAACATACAGACTTAAGTTCTGTGTCATAGGGTAGCTATGGTTAACGTATTTCTCAGACAGACTAGCTAATTTTTCTTGAACCAATTTAAGCTTGTTTAAGATTAAGCCTTGCAGAAACACTTGGAGCTATAAGTTAGTTCAGTTTAAAAAGGGGGCAGTCGTACACATAATTGCCGTTGTTTTCAGAAGGAAGCGTCAGTTTATGGTCTATGGTCATGTTGGCATGTTTGCGGTCCGAACTAAACCTATTTAGTAGCTGTTTGCTATCTTGCTCCCATGCCTCCTTAAACAAACACGACTCAACAAAGTACGGTCTGTCTGACCCGGCTTTAAAGGATGTGTGTTTTGTGCTCTAAAGGTACACAACACATCTTCAGAAGTCCCCGTGCTAATTTGAGACCTGCAATGCCTTTAACCCTTTAACATGCACACAGTGAAAAGAAAAAATATGTGGGTGTTGATTTCTTCAATGTGAATCACACCGAACAGCTTTTTTATTGATTTTCTTCCTTTTTTTTTCCCCACAGTCACAATATACATTTATCATTGCTAACTTGTAGTTGTTCCTACCAGCCAATGAGCTGCAGAAAGCACAGCACAGCTGTTGGCTAATTACTTTTAATTTGCTTCTTTACAGCATGGTCACATAGGTTGTAAAGGGGAATGTCACTATTTTTAAGAATTCTGCTTCATGAAAAAGTAATTCAGAGTGGTTTGATGTGAAGTGCTCCATTCTAGAGAAATTTGTTGAATCAGAATTGTTTTCAGTGATGGTGATGGGAACCAGACGCCTTTGAAAGCTTCATCACAGAGAGTTATTGTATGAAGTGGTTACAAATACACTGCCTGATGCCTGAGATATTATTTTACAATAGTTTTGAGACAGGATTTTGGCCTAAAACTTATTTTCACAAGACATTCATGGTGCAGTTGTACATGCAGGGCATTGTACAGCAAAATAGTCCCCTAATTTTTAAAATATTTTAAAATAAATTTAACACTATTTTGCCGTTAGCAATTGGTAATTACCAAGGAGACAGTTTTCTAGAGTGGAGTATTTCACATCGTATCTCTCTGAATGACCTTGTTTACGTCTCAACAAAAATCAGTGGCATTCCCCTTCCACAAGGCTCATGGATATTTATAGATGTGTGATGGTGATGTTATCATGAAATTCCTGAACCTTTATCTTCATAGGAGAGTAATGTCAGTAATAAAGTACGTGTGTTTATTTCTTACTTATCCTTTCAGATTTTGC